CCATCGGGAAGGGAAGGGCAGGCATCGCCAACCAAGCTGCCGAACTGAGCGAAAAGTCTGCTATCCGGGGTGAGGGGTGGGACCCAAGTCCTTTCCTTGGTTTGGATGCTCACCCTTGTCAGAAAATTGGCAAAGCAGAAGAATCCATATGTCAAAATTTTTCAGACCTCAGGCTCTGGATGGTATCTTGGCATTCTTAAAAGCAGGGCTAATAAACCACCATTGACAGGAAACCTTAGGCTATGTTACAGAGACGCAGAGAGTCAAACGTGGCTACTTCTAGTCTTTGATCCCTAACTAGGTGCCCAGCCAAGCTGCCAGCCTCTGCAACTGAGCTCTTCTTCTTTAGCGCCAAGACAGGTCTAGTTAGTGACGTTCACAGGAGTGCCAGCTTGCGTAATATTCACAATTTCTGATTTACTAACAGCTGGGCTTTCTTGCAGAAAAGAGTCCCGGTGGTGGAGACGTTCTGGAAGCTCTAAAGACGTTGAGTTGGAAGGAAGCCTCAGCACTTGGATGGACCTGCACCTTGGCCGCACGGACTGGGGAAGAGCAGATCCTGAAAAGACGGGCTACAAAAACCCGGAGCGTGTTGGAATTATTTGCAAATTGGGGAAAGCTGTTTTCTCTCCACCTGGTTAAGCTGAATAAAACCGAGGGAGCAGGATTCGTTGCGGTGGACTGCCGTCCCTGTGAAATTCTGAACTCCAGTTGGCTTCCCAACACATTTTTCTTCTGTTTTGGGCCTGAAGCAGAGGTCCACCTGCCCTCACCAGGAGAGCTTGTCCCACACCAAAGCTACCCCAAGAGGTTAGTCCTCTTGGTTAAGGAAGGTGAAGATATGGCACAGAAAGGTAGGTGGAAAATGGAAGTCTGGCTTTATGGGACAGGAGGTCCTTCACGGCCTTGACACAAGCAACCAAACCATCAAACAGCTTTATAAAACCCTAGTATGGCCACACCTGGAATACTGCAGCCACTTTTGGTCACCAGACTACAAAAAAGAGGTTGAGAGTTTGGAAAAAAAATTCAGAGAAGAGCAGCTGAGGATCCAAGGCCTGGAGACCAAAACATACGAAGAACGGCTGCAGGACTTGGGTTTGGCTAGTCTAAAGAAAAGAAGAAATAGGGGAGACAGGATAGCAGTGTTCCAGTATCTGGGGGGCTGCCACAAAGAAAAGGGCGTCAACAATTTACCTCTGTAGTTTTGGATTTTAGCAGAGCAATAACCGCACAAATAAAAATTGGACCGACCGCATTTTGCACGGCTAGGATGAAATCGCTGCGCCAGGATTTTCAGAACAAGCGAATGCCGAGATGTCCAATGAATGAACGCCCAGAGCGAGCGTTCCTGGAAACTCTCTATTATTGTGTCCTCTTTGCAAGGTGGCTCTTTCAAAGGAAACCTGAAACACGACAAATCGCTAATGATGTGAAAAACTCCACGCATTTCAACCGAACCGAAGAAGGTATTTTCAACGGTGGGGGTGGCTTATTGGTTCCGTCTTGGGTTTGTTTTGGAGAAAGGTGCACCGGAAGAATAGAATAGAATAGAATAGAATAGAATAGAATAGAATAGAATAGAATAGAATAGAATAGAATAGAATAGAATAGAATTAAGGAATAGAATAGAATAGAATAGAAATAAGGAATAGAATAGAATAGAATAGAATAGAATAGAATAGAATAGAATAGAATAGAATAGAATATGGAGCAGGATAGGACAGGACAGGACAGAAGAAAAATAAGGAATAGAAATAGAATAGCATAGAATAGAATAGAATGTGGAATAGAACAGAACAGAACAAGACAGGACAGGACAGGATAAAAGAGAAGAGAAACAAGGAATAGAAATAAGGAATAGAACAGAATGGAACAGAATAGAACAGAATAGAATGTGGAACAGAACAGGACAGGACAGGACAGAAGAGAAATAAGGAATAGAAATAGAATAGCATAGCATAGAATAGAACAGAATAGAATATGGAATAGAACAGAACAAGACAGGACAGGATAGGATAGGATAGAAGAGAAATAAGGAATAGAAATAAGGAATAGAACAGAATAGAACAGAGTGGAACAGAACAGAACAGAACAGAGCTGGAAGGGACCTTGGAGGTCTTCTATTCCAACCCCCTGCTCAAGCAGGAGATCCTATCACCTCCAGTGATGGAGCGCCCACAATTTCTGGTGGCAAGCTGTTCCACTGGTTAATTGTCCTCCCTGTCAGGAAGTTTCTCCTTAATTCCAGGTTGCTTCTCTCTTTGGTCAGTTTCCATCCGTTGTTTCTCGTCCTGCCCTCTGGTGCTTTGGTGAATAACATGACACCCCTCTTCTTTGTGGCAGCCCCTCAAATAATAAACTATAAATAATACAGTATATATGCGTTGTAATAATAAATATGCGTTAGTGCGCCATCGGCCTGTTCCTAGCAAAATCTCCTAGCCATTCCTCTCCAACAACTGAAGGAGAAGAAAAATGCACATTCTGAAGTGGCTTTCCAAGAATGCACAAAAAAACCCACTCCCTCCGTAGAATCTTCCTTCTGCTACTTGGAATTTTCTGGACTACCTTACGCGCCCAGCAAACGTTTTTACAACGGCCGGCGCATCGTTGCTTTCCGCAGCTTCGCAAAGGGCTCAAATTGTTCAACCGGGTGGTGTCCACGTGGGCTAGCTGGCACTCCCCAAACTAGGTTTTCCATCCTAGTTCCATCCTCAAGGGTTGAAGACAGCCAACAAGCCAGCAAAAACTACGATAGCTAATTGCAGACGACGGCATGACGAGGCTACGATGTCAAAAGCGACACAGGTTCGCTCGGTTACAATGCGGCATGTGTGCAAACCAGGGAACGCTGAAACGTCACGCACAATTGCCCGGGATTACCGACGATATGGCCACATCCAGCTTATCACAAGGCAGGAGGGACGCGCACGGAGGCCCGGGCCGTCCGAAGACAGCCCGTTGCGGCTTACGATAGCTTCAGTGAACATTCAACGCTGTCGGTGAGTTTGAACCTCTCGGGATAAACCACCGATCGTTGATTGTACCTTGAGGTTTATCACAGTCCTCACACACACACACACACACACAAAATGCCTCCAGGCATACAATTCACCAGCTGGGCGGTGTGATGCGTGCAGGAGAACTCACGAGCTTCAACAGAGACCCATTGCTTCGCTACAGGGGTCCCCAACACCCCGGGCTGGAGCCCGGCACCGGTCCACGGCACGTCAGTAACCGGTCCGTGCAAATAAGCGAAGTCCCATCCGCAGGATGCAGGCAGCGTGCGAAACCATGAACTTTCGTAGAGATGGGAAGGTGTAGAAAAAAAAGGGGGGGGAAATGATTCCCCCCCCCAATTTTTGCAGTTTTGTTCCACACCTTCGGGGGGGGGGTTTTCGCCATTTTTTTCCAAATGGCTTTTTTCCAAAGCCGTTTGGAAAAAAAATAAATTTAAAAAACCCAACAATTTTTCCAGGTGTTTTTGTAGATCTGCCCATCCGGTCTGTGGGCAAAGCTCTCTCCACGGAACCGGTTCCCGGTGACCCCAAAAGGTTGGGGGAGGCTGCTCTACGAGGTCTTGAACCCAACGCCGGTGTTGTCGTCCGGAGAGCACAAATAATGGCTGCACTCAACATTCATTGCTGTCGGTGGGTTTCGGGTTCGGTCAGCCCTCTGGCCAATGAATGCAAACTGCGGATCAAACAGCAGCAGGACAGAGGCTGGACACCCCCCACCCAGACCCCCAGATCTCCTCCTGCAGGTCCAAAGCATCCCCAGCCTTGACAAATGCACGCACACACACAATACACCCAGACGCACAGCCAATACAGAGAGTCCTCAGCTTAAATTGAGCCCAAGATTTCATTTTGGGTTAAGCGAGACATTTGCTAAGGGAGTTTTGCCCCGTTTTGCGACGTCTCTTGCTGCAGCCGTTGAGAGAATCGGTGCCGTTGTTCGCGAAAGGGGATCCTGTGAGCTGAGGGACTCTGCAACCGTTGTAAATGTGCGTCAGTTGCCGAGCGTCCGAACTTTGATTGCGTGACCGCGGGGATGCCAGAATAGTCGTAAGTGTGAAAGTGGTCATAAGTCTTTTTTCAGTGCCGTCACAACTTTGGTCACTAAATGAGGACTGCCTGGAATCTGCTTCTAACACACCACACAGGAAGCCCTTCCGAGCATCCCCAAGAGGCGGCTAGGACGGAGACATAATCAGAAGGGAGATTTGGGTCTGGACCAACGTCTTCAGGACGCGACAAACCTCGGCTCGCTCTTGCTAACTTCTGGATGGGAAGCAAGGGGATCTGGGGAGCCAGGGGTTTGGGGAGCCCTCTCCCCCAAAATCTATTCGAGGATTTGGGGGTGCTCCACACGGAGGCCATTCTCTGCCGTTCACAAGGCACCTTGAAACAAATCCAAAAACTCAGCTGACTTCAAGAGAGGAAGCAGTCAAAATCTGCGTACTCTGGATGCTGCCCTTAACCATGATTAAGCCACGGTCAAGTAAAGAAGGTGTCACTCACTGTAGACAGATACCAAGGATAGGGTGGGGGAGGATGGTCATCTCCCTTCCGTAGCACAACATACAGGCAGTCCTTGACTTAGGACAGTTGGTTCAAAGTTACGACCGTTTTTTCACAGTTGTGACCTTGGCCACGATCACGTGATTAAAATTCAGACGCTTGGGTCGTATTTATGACGGTCGCAGTGTCCCGGGCTCACGCGATCCCCTTTTGCGACGTTCCGACAAACAAAGTCAAGGGGGGGGGGGCAATCCAGATTCACTCAACTTATCCAGCGCAGTGATTCATTTAAGAACGATGGCGAGAAAGGTCATAAAAGGGGGGCCAAACTCGCTTAACAAATGTCTCACTTAACAACAGAACAAGGCTCGGCTCAATTGTGGGTCGTAAGTCCAGGATGGTGTGTGTGTGTGTGGGGGGGGGGAAACTAGCAGGACACCCCCTTTCCCCAAATTAGAGAAAGTCGTTACTTACTGCCAGCGTTCAAGAGCAGCATCGAAGAAGGGGTGTTCATCTGTTCAACATCTGCAGCTGGGAAGGGAAAGAAAGAAGAGAGCAGAGTCTAAGACGGGCTTGGAAAAAAATATATCAGATATTTTGTTCAACCGGTAGAGAGGGCTGCGTCGTTTATACCTCCTTGTTCTCCCACCGTCAGTCTTAAGCCAGGAATCCTGGCTTAATTACCCTGAGAGGAAGTCTAATGGGCCCCACTTTGATTGCACGCTTGCAGGAGTTGGGAAGGGCCAGTCTAGAGAAAAAAAGGACTAGGGGGGACATGATAGCAGCCTTCCAGTGTTTGAGGGGCTGCCACAAAGAAGAGGAGGGGGTCAACCTATTCACAAAAGCCCCTGAAAGCAGGACAAGAAACAATGGATGGAAACTGACCAAGGAGAGAAGCAACCTGGAATTAAGGAGAAACTTCCTAACAGTGAGGTCAATTAAGCAGTGGAACAGCTTGCCACTGACTCACGTTTATGATGGCTGATGTGTCCCGGGCGGCCTTCAAGCAAAGTCAGTGGGGAAGATGGATTCCCTTAACGGCGTGTGATTTAAATAACCGCAGGGACATGCTTAACAAATGGGGGGGGGAAAGCTGTAAAAACGGGGCCAAACCCACAACAAATGTCTTACTTGGCCCCATAAGCCCCCGTTAAGCCGCGGAGTGTCTGTATTTAGCAACGGCTGGGCCACCTTATGGAAACAGCCTAAGGTGCCAGCAGGATGCAGGCGCGCGCGCGCGCACACACACACACACACACACACACACACACACACACACGGGTCAAAATGGGACTCGCAGGATGGAGATCCCCCCCCCCCAGTCATCCTTGGCCACGGCAGGGCCGAGGGTCACTGCTACAAACCGTGCAAACGTTACACCAATGCACAAGTCCGCTGGGGCTGTACTTGGGTGTACGAAAATGAGGGACGAGGGATGGAGGGAGAACAGCCTGCCATGAAAGTTGGGGGGGGGGGGAATGGAGGAGAGAAAGGCTGGAAAGGACAACACAATCAAAGCCCCCTTGATCGGAGGACCAGCTGTTGCTGGCCGGGGCTCCTTGACCTTTGCCCTTTCCTCCGACCACGATGTGAAAAAGGGAAGGGGGGGGGAGAAACGCCAATTGTTGACCATCATTGTCCTGGGGCCTTGAAAGGAATAAATAATTTAGCACGCTGAGCTGATGGCCTTTTTTTGGGGTGGGGGGGGAGGGCTGTTTGGCTCTTTGGGGGCCTGCAATCAAGACCTGGGGTTGCTTTGACCGGTTCCCCTCTTTTTTTTTTATAGCCTAATTGGGTGCCATAACATAAATCAATTATTTCTCCTGTTTTAAGGGACAATGGGCGCCATTCTTCTCCGGGGGCCGGCCGGGCGCTCCTGTTCCCTTCCCAGCCTTCTGCCTGGGTCCTTTTTTTTTGAGTTTTACAGCTGTACAGTCAACACAAGGAGGGGAGAAGAAAACAGTCCGGCCACCACTGCAGGGTAGGGGGGACACACCGTGGGGTGGGGTGGTAAGGCTGCCCCACTCTGACCTTCTCCTGACCCGTGGCTGGCCTTGCCCCTGTTTATCCTAACCAAACTGGGGGGGGTGGGAGAGGGAGGGGTCCTTCCCCACAGAAATGAACTTAGCCTGAAGCTGCAGGAGAGGAGTTGACTTTGAGGGCCCCAGGTGAGACCCCGATTTTAGAATTAGAACAGAATGGAGCCGGAAGGGATCTTGGAGGTCTTCTAGTCCAGCCCCCCGCTGAAGCAGGAGAGCCTATACCAGTGGTTCTCAATCTGTGGGTCGGGACCCCATTTGGGGTCGAACGACCCTTTCACGGGGGTCACCAAACAACGCAGTCCGCCATTTCCCCCCCCCTTTTCCTTAGCTGTGCTCCTCCCCTTTATTCTGTTGGCTTTTGAAAGCCAATAGAACAGACTCTCTTGAATAGAGTCTCATTCTATTGGCTTTCCAAAGCCAATAGGAATGGTCCAGGCTGTCTCTGCCCTGCTGAGCCCGCCAAAAGTCCCATTCTGCAAACGGTGCTGCACCAATTGAGTCGTCCTCGACTTACGACCGGTTGAGTAGTCCTCGACTTACGACCAGTTGGGGGGGGGGTCGCGGCATTAAAAAGGTTGAGAACCACTGGCCTATACCGTCTCAGATAAGTCTCCTCTTAAAAGACTCCTGGCCAACTTCTCCACTCGTGGAGGAGAGGGCTGAGTGTGCCTCTTCAGCGGCACCGCCCACCAAATGAAACCCAAAGACACCTTTCTGTGTGTTGAAAGACTACAACTCCCAGCATCCCTAGCCAGAAGCACGGGGGGGGGGAGATACCGTCCCCGAGTAGCAGCAGAGCATGAGGTTGCAAAGAGGAGATGGGCCACTGCTTTGAAGAACGGGCGTTCCTCCTTAAAAAGGAATGAGCAGCTGGCCGAGGGAGGGGGGGAGAAGAGAGAGAGAGAGAAAAAAAAGAGAGGTGGTCTCATTTTGTTAAAATTCACCCTTCCAAAGAGGGGAGGGGTCCCCCACCGGGAAGAAAGCATCTTCACACCTACCAAAGGGCGGGTCATGTTCGGCGGAAGGCTCTTGAGAAAACCCTGGAAGAGAAGAGAAACAGATTTACTGCTATAAATGGGGGCTCATTTTTTAACACCGGCATTACAAAGGGGGTGGCTGGTCAAAAGGAGACCATGAGGAAGACATTGCTAGCCCTTTGGGGGCCCAGGGAGGGTCCCCCACCACCCTTCCCCCTTCCAAGGTTGGCCACCCCTTCTGGGTGGAAGCGTGGCCGAACGAACGCCAAGGAGGCTTTGGAAACACCCACCCAGGACACGGACCCTTGCGAGAAGCGATCCAGGCAAGCAAGCCAGCAGGACATGTGGAGAGGACCCCCCCAACTCTTTCTTGAGAGCGTGGTGTCCCACCTGCCCTCCATAATGGGAGAACCAAGGGCAGGAAAGTCCCACTGGCTACGTTTTGAGAGGTGGCAATCTAGGACCCCAATCCAGGTGCCGTTCGGTCAGGAAGACCCTCTAGGTTTGGCCAACTCTTCAGAGACCCACGCCCAAGACCCTCCAAGACAAGAGTAGGCAACCTTGGCTCTATTATGACACATGGACTTCAACTCCCAGAATTCCTGAGCCAGCATGGCTCAGCTTGGAAACTTCTCCCTTCCCCTCAGCATGGTTGGCTCAGGAATTCTGGGAGTTGAAGTCCACGAGTCATAAAAGAGCCAAGGTTGCCTACCCCTGCTCTAGGAGATATGACAGGCATGGAAGACCTTCTTCCCTATTAACCCATGATCCACCTTTGGAAAAGAGGTAGAAGGGCAGAGCTTCTGAACCCTGGGCAAACTATCCCAAAGTAGATAAAAGTGGTCTTTCTTTGGAGGTAAGCAACCCACCAACCCCTGGCCCAACCCAACAGAGACATTGAAATGGACTTATCAACGATTGCCCCACGTACTACGGCATATTCGTCAATCTGCCACAGTATCCCTATCAAGACGAAATTAATCAATGAAATGACCACGGGGGTAGGGGAGGTGAAGGTGTTGGAATGACACAAGGATGAGTTAGTCCTCCAGTTACGACACGTTTGCTCAGTGAGGGTTCAAAGGACCACCAGTGCTGAAGGTAGGGACTTAGGATAGGTCCTTAAAGCTTGGTAAGTCAAACTTTCTGATGAGTAGTTCAAGGCAACGAAGGCAAAATTTGGGGAAACCTCAGGGGGGTCCAACCTGGACCACTTTAAGACGTGTGGACTTCAACTTCCAGAAATCCATGCTGCCTGGGGAATCCACAGGACTTAAGGTGGCCATGGATGGACACCCCAATGTAGCCCCAAGCCAGCCCAAACCTCTTCCTTCCTTCCATGCTGCCTGGGGGATGCTGGGAGTCGAAGTCCACCAGTCTTAAAGGCTGGACATCTCTGGATGATATGATAAGCTCACATTGTATCTCAGAAGATCCCTGGATCTTACTTAGCTGATTAGGGGAGATGATAACGGCAGCCCAACGCACCGGGCATCAGGGCACCAACTCTGAAGAAAACGAGACTCGTCCTATCCTAGAAAAATTCTGTTTTTTGGTTTTTTTTTTACCTTTCGCCGAGAAATTTTAGGCGATGCAGCGAGTTAATCAGACACGCAGCATAATCCCTGGGGAAGATTACACAAACTTTACAGCCACAGCGGAGTGTGATGGTAGCAGCCGAACCAGGCCTAACCGGATTTGGGAAAGGAATTTCCTTGGGTTTGGGGTGGGGAGGGGGAGAAAGAGAGAGGAAGGTGGGAGAGACTCCATCAGCCCTGCCCTGACCACTGGGTGCTACGGCCGCTGCTGCTTGGGAGCCACCAAAGGTTGAATGCCACTTCAGAAATGCGGTCGGGCACAACAAACAAATAATCGGGATGAAGACGACCAAGCCTAGAATTGAGGTTTAAATTTCAGTCGTGGAGTTGCTGAATGAAGTAGAGGTGGCCACTCTGTCCGGTGGACGAGATTTCTCTTTCTCTTTCTCTCTCTCTCTCTCATCTCTCTCTCTCTCTCTCTCTCTCTCTCTCTCTCTCTCTCTCTCTCTCTCTCTCTCTCTCTCTCTCTCTATATATATATATATATATATAGATATATATATATATATATATATATATATATATATATATATATACACAAGCACAAAGCCAAAGATCCCAGCCTGAAGATGACGAGTGGGACCTTGTCGAAACGTCGCCAAGATACTCTCAATCTTACACGGGAAAAGACCCAAATACGCCAAGACCTGCATATATATATATATGTAGGTCTTTGGTTATTCGGGTTTTCTCCCGCGTCAAATTGGAAGTGTCTTGGAAACGTCGCCAAGACACTTCCAATTTGACGCGGGAGAAAATCCGAATAACCAAAGACCTACATACAAACACCCGCGAAAACCTCAGAAAACATACATACATACATACATATCCATATATCTTCTATCTCTATCTCTCTTATGTATCTCTATCTAATCTATCAATCTCTATCATCACTATCATCTATTATCTCTATCTATCATCTATATCTAATCTATATATTTAATCTATCTATATCATCTCATTATATCTATCTATCATCTCTTTCTATCTATCTATCTATCTATCTATCTATCTATCTATCTATCTATCTATCTATAGAGAGAGAGAGACAGAGAGCTATTCCTATTGCTTTGGCAGAGGTAGGTAGAAAGAGAGAGACAAAGAAAGAAAGACAGAAAGAGAGAGACAGACAGAGAAGGACAAAACTGTTTCAAATAGGGAAGTGGTAAACAGCTTCTCCTTGATCCAGCTGTTCACGCCAGCTTTGGAAACGGGTCCAGCTGCTGCTCCTGCACGTAGGCAGTGAAGGCAGCCTGATTGAATCATCCCTCATATCTCTCAGCCACTGAGGAGTGACCCCGGGGGTCAGGCCTGCATGCTCCAAGCCGGGGAAGGGAGGAGAGAAAAAACACCCAGCAGCAGCCTTGCTCTCACCAAGCTCCCGAAGCCGAGTCCCCGCCAGGCTCCCGCCAGGCAGCAAAGCATCTGAATGGATCTCCAACCTTGCAAAGCACGCCCAGGACACGTGCAGGAGAGTCCCGCAGCTGCAGGGCCGGCCTCACCCCTGCCTCAGATAAGCGGAATGCAAGCAAGCTCAGGTTCACTATGGAGAGCCTCAGGGTTAAGTGCCGCGAGGTGCTTCGTGCTCCTCTCTGCCCTTCAGTTTGCCCGGTGGGTCTTCTGAAAGCAGCCACCCAGGGCCAAGTTGCAGGAAAGGCGACAGCAGCTCAGCCCCTCGGCTTACGTGCCGGACGAGACTCTGCTCTGCGGGACGAGTGGCGCAACTGGAAAGCACAGGGGCTTGGTGCTTGGCCTCCAACCCCCGCCAGCCGCAACTTCCATGGGCCGTGATCTAGGCACAGAGGAGAGAGAGCCTTACGAAAGCGGTCGAATCGGAAGCAAGGGTGGACAGTCGCGATTCTCTTTAAAGCAGCTTGGAAGGAAAAGCCAGCGTCTAAATCCCAGGTGCTGGGAAAGTTTGCACGGGTGCAAATCTCTTCGTTTCCGTCAATAGAATAGAATAGGAGCTGGAAGGGACCTTGGAGGTCTTCTAGTCCAGCCCCCTGCTCAAGCAGGAGAACCTATACCCTTTTAGACAAGTGACTGTCTAGCCTCTTCTTAAAAATCTCCAGTGATGGAGCGCCCACGATTTCTGGAGGCAAGCTGTTCCACTGGTTGATTGTCCTCCCTGTTAGGAAATTTCTCCTTAATTCCAGGTTGCTTCTCTCTCTGATCAGTTTCCATCCACTGTTTCTCATCCTGCCCTCTGGTGCTTTTGTGAATAATTTGACCACCTCTTCTTTGCGGCAGCCCCTGAAATACTGGAATATTGCTATCATGTCACCCCTATTTCTTCTTTTCTTTAGACTAGCCAAACCCAAGTCCTGCAGCCGTTCTTCGTATGTTTTGGTCTCCAGGCCTTTGATCCTCTTAGTTGCTCTTCTCTGAACTTTTTTTGCAAAGTCTCAACATCTTTTTTGTAGTCTGGTGACCAAAATTGGCCGCAGTATTCCAGGTCTAGTGGCCTCGCTAGAGTTTTATAAAGTGGTACTAATACTTTGCGTGGTCTTGATTCCATGCCTCTGTTTATACAACCCGAGATTGTATTAGCTTTTTTTGGCTGCTGCCGCACACGGCTGGCTGATGGTTAAGTGATTGTCCACTACGATTCCAAGGTCCCTCTCACAGTTGCTGTTTTTGAGCCAGGTCTCGCCCAGTCTGTACTTGTACCTTTGTACCGATAGCCATTGTACGATGGCTCCGGAGAGAGCGCAAACGAGAAGGGCTCTTTGACACCCGTCACTCGTCGCAGGTGGTCGAAGTTCTGCTTGGCTGACGGAGCAAAGCCTGATCCTGTCATCCGAGCACCCGGCCAACTGCCCGGGTATCTTTTCTCTGAGGGCGACACTGATAACCCAGGAAATTGGGACACCAGGCCGGGCGAAAGGAGAAAAAGAGGATCTCCGATAGCGAAACGGGGTGGTGGGAATGAGAAGGGGGCCCCCCAACAAGCATATGGTGGTCCAAGACCCTCCCAGCTCTGCGTCCTGGGAGGTGGAGATGGGTGGGTGGGTGGGCTAGATAAGGTTACCAACTCTACAGATGCCTTCTCTCTAAAGCTGGCAGAGCAAATGGGACACCCAAGAAGAAGGATGGCGAGTGAATTTGGGGAGGGTCTTTCCTTTGTCCGTCGTCGCAAGGCCAGCTTGCCGCGGCACGAGGCTGCTAGGACCAGACCAGGGCTTCACACTGACCACTTGATCACAAGTATCTATGATTAATGTTTAGTGACCGTTCGAAATCACGACACCGGGGAAAAGTGACAAGACCGTTTTTCACACTTTTGACTGTTGCCGAATCCCCGTGTTCATGTGATTGACATTCAGACACGTGACAACTGGTTCGTGTTTATGACGTTTGCCATGTCCAGGGATCGCGTGATCCTCTTTTGCGATCTTCTGACAGGCCAAGCCAAAAGGGGGGGGGGAGCCAAATTCACTTAACCACCGTGTGATAAATTAACAA